GGGGGGGGGGGGGGGGGGAGAGAGTTAGGATAACTATCTTCCAGTACTTGAGGGACTGCCACAGAGAAGAGGGGTTGAGGGGGCAGGAGGTATTGGGTGAGGGCTTGTTAAAGAGAGATCCAACTAGAAGTAAGGAGAAATTTTCTGACAGTGAGAACAATTAATCGGTGGAAGAGCTTGCCTCCTGGTGCTCCATCACTGGAGGTTTTCAACATGAGATTGGACAACCATTTGATGGGGATGATATAAGGTCTCCTGCCTTGAGTAAGCGGTTGGACTAGTAGACCTCCAAGGTCTCTCCCAGCCCTATGATTCTATGTTCTGTGTTTGTTACTACTACTGCTTACTCGGATTCTCATCTCTTTTCCTGCAGGGTGCCTAGAAACTCCAAGAACATTAACTAAGATATGCCAACGCTCAGACAACTCTTAAAAAGGCCTGAATGATTTTTCAGAGAACTGTAATTATTCTAAAGGAGGCAAAAGGTGATGCATACATACCCACACCCACACCCAGGGGCTGCGGGTGGCAATTACAACGATGGGTGCAGCTGCTGGGAAGCTGCCCAAATGCTGCTGTGCCACTTCAGGGCCTTCACACAGCAACAACAGGAATGCGGGCTTCCCAGTCTGAAGGCTTCCCCTTACAGGGAAAAGGCTGCCCAGGGAAGGCAGAGGAGCAGGAAGGGGAGCCCGGGATCTTCTGAGGAGCAGAGCAGCTCAACCGCTTCTCCCTCGCCACCCTCGGAAACCGAGAAGAGACTCTCCAAGAGGGGCAGTGCCCCCCACTCCCGCCCGACCCATTCCGGCCTATCGGTCACTATGGGGGGGGGGAGCAGAACATTCCCCCCCCCCCAATACAGGCAGGAGGAGCCGCAGAAACCGCTCGGATTGGCTCGGGCGGGGGGAGGATAAAGAGGCAGCCCCCCCCTCCCACGTGGACTCTGCACTCCGCGGGTCTCGGCCAGCAGCTGCGGCTCATCCCCAGAAATGCCCGTCCGGCCCCGGGGAAGCGCCGCTTTGGCGGCTCCGCCCTCCGGAGTCCCGCAGGGTCCCGAATGCTGCCCCCCAGGCGAGCCTTCGCGGCGCTTCCCGAGCCCCTCCGCCAAGAGCCCGGCAGGCGCCCGAGCCACGTGGCAGGCTTCGAGCAGGTGGCCGCGCGGAAGAGCCGCCGGAGCGGACCCGTCTCTAGCCCGCCCCGCCGCCGGGAAAGGAGCCTCCAGCCGCCGCCCGCGAGAGCCGACGGGCTTGGGGCGCCCTAGAAGCGCCTCCCCGCCGCTCGGTTACCTCTCCGGTCAGGTCGGCGCCGCCTGGGCAACTTCGCCTCCGGGCCCACCTGGGTGCCCCGCGGCCGCCGCTCAAAAGCGCCCGGAGCCACCGAGCAGGAGCAGCCCGGCGAGCAGCAGCTCCCGCGCCGAAAGCCCCAGCCGGCAGGCAGCAGCCGGGGCGGAGCCGGCAGGGAAGCCGCCGCCGAGGAGCCGAGGGCCAAGGGGGGGCGGGGTGGAGGAGGAGGAGGAGGGCAAAGGAGACCCCCCCCCTCGGCGGGGGGCGCGGCACTCGCTCATGGGCTGCGGCGGAGGCGGTCCCGGCTCGCCTGTTGAGGGAACAGCTGCCGCCACCGCCTCTCCCTGCTGGGCCGTTGCCCGGCCCCGTTTCGAGCCTGCGACGGACGCAGCGCCGCGGACGCCTGGTTCCCCCCAAAGCACCCCCGCCAGGTAAGAGTTGGGAGGGACCGCCCGGGGCTGCCTTCCTCCAATCCAAGAGCACACAACGGATACACACTCAAGGCACCAAGCTTGACTGCAGGAAAGACGACTTCAGCTACAGAGTGGTCACTGTCTGGAATGCTCTACTTGCCTCTGGGGTTTCTTCCCCAAACCCCAAAAACCTTAACCTTAGACTGTCTACTATTGACCTCACCCCTTTCCTAAGAAGCCTGTAGGGGGAGTGCATAAGCGCACCAATCGTGCCTACGGTCCCTGTCCTATTGTTTCTTTTTTATTTTTCGTACGTATCCATTTCATGCATCCATAACTATGTTATACTTATACCTGTTATAATTGCTTGACAAATAAATAAACAAATAAATAAACAAACTGCCTGCAGGTCTGAAGCCATTGCAGTCAAGGGGCCGCCAGACCTTCCTGTGAAGACCTCCAGGGACGCAGCACTGACCCCTCGGGAGAGGGAAGCTGCCCCGTTGTCATTGTCCAAAAATCTCTCCTTTAGTTCTAGGTAGGCTGAGTTTCCCTCTGTTAACCCAAAGGTGCTTTTTCAAAAGGCAACTGGACTTTCTTGCTTTCTCCTTGAAGGCGTTTCGTTTCTCGTATACCACTTCCCAGCGCTTCACAGGCCTCTCTAAGCAGTTTATAGAGTCAGCCTGTTGCCCCCAATAATCTGGGTCCTCATTTGACCCACCTCGGAAGGACGGAAGGCTGAGTCAACCTGGAGCCTGGTGAGATTTGAACTGCCAAATTGCAGTCAGCTGGCAGCCAGCAGAAGGAGCCTGCAGTCCTGCACACTCTAACCACTGCACCCCCACCATACACACTTTCCATCCATTACTTCATATCCTGCCCTCAGTTGCTTTTGGAGAATAGTCCATCCCATATTCTCTGTGACAGCGGCTCAAGTATTGGAAAACACTCCCCCTCAGTCTTTTGATAGAGTACAGACCTGGCTCCCTCAGCCGTTCTTCAGCCTTTCATCATAAGATTTAGCTTTCAGACTCTTTATCATCTCTGTTGCTCTGCTCTGTATATTTTCTATGGTCTTAGCTTCTTTTTTCATCATGACCCAAACTGTATGCAATATTCCAGGTTTGGCCTCACTGGTACAATACAAAGCGGTATTATCATCTCTCATGTTCTTGATGCTCTACTTCTGTTGATGCAACTTAGGACAGTGTTGGCTATTTTGAAAGCTGCAGCACATGGTTGGCTCATACCTAAGTGGTTGTCCACTTAAATCCCTCTCCCCGTTATTGTTTAACCAGGTCTCCTCCTGGGACGCTGCCATTCTGATGGAGGGGTGGGAGGAGGCTATCAGGGTTGCATTTTTTGCATGCTTTTCTTTTGCTGTAATTGCATGGCATTTAGAGAAAGGGACTATCTGAGAGAGATGATGGACTTCCTCCCAGCTGGTTTTAGTCTGACACTTCATCCCCACTTACCCTGGGGATGAACTGCTATCAAGCCAACACCTCAGAGTTCTCCAAACACCTTTCTGGTACTGTATTGGCTCCTGGTGAAGGCGGGGTGGGGTTCTGAATGGGAAAGAATCGCTTTGTGTGGGAACTTCAGATTCTGCCTGACTTCTTTCCAATCCGTCTCTCTTTTCTCTCAAGAAAAAATCCTTTGGATAACTACTTCTTTCAAGAGTCATGAGGAGATAGATGAGGCAGATCCTTAGACTTGTTTTATACCTGTGCATTTGGTTTTTCCTGCCTAAGTGTAGGATGTTACTTTTCTCACCACTGAATTTCATTTTCTTTGATACAGTGTTCAAGTGTTCAGGTCTGCCAAGTTCTTTCTGCACCTTGAGTCTTATCTTCTGAAGTGTTACCTATTAGCTTAGTGTCATCCATAATTTTGATGAGTTTCCTTTCTATCCCTTCATCCAAATCATTTAGGAAAATGTTGAAAAGTACTTGGTCTAAGATAGAATTTTGGAGTTCCCGACTGCATGCTTCCCTCCATGTTCTACTGAGGATTACACATTTAAGTGTGGTTAATCATCCAGTTACAAATTCATCAGGTGGTGATGTTGTGTATCCTACATTTTTCTATCTTACCAAGAAATAGGTTGTGGTCTACTTTGTCAAATGCCTTATTGAAATATAAGTACAGGTGAAACTCGAAAAATTAGAATATCGTGCAAAAATTCATTTATTTCAGTAGTGCAACTTAAAAGGTGAAACTAATATATGAGATAGACTCATTACATGCAAAGCAAGATAGTTCAAGCCGTGATGGGTCATAATTGCCATGATTACAGCTCACAGCTCATGAAAAACCCAAATCCACAATCTCAGAAAGTTAGAGTATTGTGAAAAGGTGCAATATTCTAGGCTCAAAGTGTCCCACTCTAATCAGCTAATTAAGCCATAACACCTGCAAAGGGTTCCTGAGCCTTTAAATGGTCTCTCAGTCTGGTTCAGTAGGAATCACAATCATGGGAAAGACTGCTGACCTGACAGTTGTGCAGAAACCATCATTGACACCCTCCATAAGGAGGGAAAGCTTCAAAAGGTAATTGCAAAAAAAGTTGGATGTTCCCAAAGTGCTGTATCAAAACACATTAATAGAAAGTTATGTGGAAGGGGAAAGTGTGGAAGAAAGGGGTGCACAAGCAGCAGGGATGACCGCAGCCTGGAGAGGATTGTCAGGAAAAGGCCATTCAAAAGTGTTGGGGACTTTCACAAGGAGTGGACTGAGGCTGGAGTCAGTACATCAAGAGCCACCACACACAGACGGATCCTGGACATGGGCTTCAAATGTCGTATTCCTCTTGTCAAGCCACTCCTGAACAACAAACAACAAACAAGCGCCTTACCTGGGCTAAAGAAAAACAGACCTGGTCTGTTGCTCAGTGGTCCAAAGTCCTCTTTTCTGATGAGAGCAACTTTTGCATCTCATTTGGAAACCAAGGACCCAGAGTCTGGAGGAAGAATGGAGAGGCACACACTGCAAGATGCTTGAAGTCCAGTGTGAAGTTTCCACGGTCTGTGTTGATTTGGGGAGCCATGTCATCTGCTGGTGTTGGTCCACTGTGCTTCATTAAGTCCAGGGTCAATGCAGCCGTCTACCAGGAGATTTTGGAGCACTTCATGCTTCCTTCCGCAGATGAGCTTTATGGGGATGCTGACTTCATTTTCCAGCAGGACTTGGCACCTGCCCACAGTGCCAAAAGCACCAAAACCTGGTTTAATGACCATGGGATTACTGTGCTTGATTGGCCAGCAAACTCGCCTGACCTGAACCCCATAGAGAATCTATGGGGCATTGCCATGAGAGACATGAGACCGAACAATGCAGAAGAGCTGAAGGCCACTACTGAAGCATCCTGGTCTTCCCTAACACCTCAGCTGTGCCACAGACTGATAGCTTCCATGCCACGCCGCATTGAGGCAGTAATTGCTGCAAAAGGGGCCCAAACCAAGTACTGAGTACATATGCATGCTTATCCTTTTCAGAAGTCCGATATTGTTGTATGTACAATCCTTGTTTTATTGATTGCATGTAATATTCTAATTTTCTGAGATTGTGGATTTGGGGTTTTCATGAGCTGTAAGCCATAATCATCTTAATTATGACAAATCATGGCTTGAACTATCTTGCTTTGCATGTAATGAGTCTATCTCATATATTAGGTTCACCTTTTAAGTTGCATTACTGAAATAAATGAACTTTTGCACGATATTCTACTTTTTTGAGTTTCACCTGTATTATGTGCTGACAGCATTTCACTGGTCTACTAGTCACTGTGTCAAAGAATGAAATAAAATTTGTTTGGCGTGATCTATGACAAATACATTGTTGGGTTCTGATTATTGCTTTGTTCGCTTCTAGGTATTTGCAGATCAGTTGCTTGATTACCTTTTCCAGGATCTTCCAGATACTGATGTTGGGCTGATTGGTCTGTAATTTCCTGGATCCATTCCCCCCACCCCTTTTGAACTGTTAAACATGATTTTTGACATTACATTTATATTTACTGACAAAGAAATAAAGGGAGACTAGTAGAGATTTATTTCAAGCTATTTAGCTCTTGTCAGCTAGGGTTATTCTTCTGGGATTCTGGTTTACTGGGGCTTTTTTTAGCTAAGAAGTTACGAAAAATTTTAGGCTGGATTGTTTTAGTGTTATTACATTGAGGACATTTGGGTGGGCAAAAGGGTTGCTTATTCTCAGGGAGGATGTGGGGACAAAGCAATAATGGATGCTCTTCAATTATTTTAAGCTGCTCTCACTGGGAGCAGGAGCCAGGATAAGTCTCTCTCTCTCCCTCCCTCTCCCCGCCCCGTGTGTATGTGTGAGTGTGTGTGTGTGTGTGTGTGTGTGTGTGAGAGAGAGAGAGAGAGAGAGAGAGAGAGAGGGAGAACTGCATACTAGGTATCATTCCAAAGGAAAGTCATGGAGTTAGAAAGGAAACAATGTTATCCATCCAATGGAATGTTCTGGGTGCATGACCTGCATCCTGCATGACCCTCAACACAGGTGTCCTGCCAAAGGATGAAGCTGGAAGGGAAGCAGCTCCATCTTACCCACCTTGGTTCCATCCCTGGCTTTGGGCTCTACGCTTCCTCCGTAGAATTACATGAAGAAGCTGGAGCTTTGGCGGCGCTTGTGGTTTCCTGGCCAGAAGGGACCCAAACAGATCCATCTTAGCAAATCCAAATTATACATCACCTTCTTGCCCAGGCAACCAATGCAGTTTTTTGCTTCATCCCCATGACTGAGTGGTCTGAGCAGGCTTGAACTCAAGAGGGACAAGACTGAATAGATGTGGATGTTTGCACACTTCTGAATCCGGAGTGGTTCCATCTTTGATCCGGATTAGGACTATAAGGAATCTCTTCAGATTTTGACAGGTGGAAGGGGGACAGCTCCTGCCCAAGCAGCAGGTGGCAAATGATCAGGAATGCCTGCACCCAGTTGCACCTACACCTAGGTTAGAAAGCCTTTTAGATGGTCACCTTGGCATTTGGACTGTCACAATATGCCCTTCAAAATGAAGAAATCCATTATTAGCTTAGCTCTGAACTGCAGCGAAAAGTCAATGAATCTTTGCACTTTAGGGCTTATAAAGATGGGAAATTGGTGAAGATAATGTAAGAAACAAAAAAATATACTTCCAAAAAGTATGTGGTCTTGCAAAAGATAGGGGAGAAGGTGTGAGTGTGTACTTCTGCTCACCTGGTTACATGGAAATGAAAGCCGGATTTGTCCAGAGAAACATACAAGTATTCAAAGGGGCTTTTTCAAGAGGCAAATGGACTTTCTGTTTTGTCTTTGAAGACGTTTCACTTCTCATCCAAGAAGCTTCTTCAGCTCTGACTAGGACTCCTGCCATAATTGAAGAAGCTTCTTGGATGAGAAGAGAAACCTCTTCAAAGAAAAAAACATAAAATCCAGTTGCCTCTTGAAAAAGCATCTTTGGGACAACCATGACCTAGATGGCTGAGAATCTCCATAGACATACATGTATTCATTTAAAACATACCATTTTTAATCAGCATTTAATGTTTTATCTTTGCAGCTGGTTCATTGCAAAGCTGCCTCCAACTGCAGCAGAACACAAGTATTTTGAGGTGGACCAATAGATGGAGAGACTTCACTGGCAGCAGGTCACCTGGGGGAAACTTGAAAGAAAGATTGTGGACCATGGTCAAAATCTACCTCTCTGGTCTCTAGGAGTCAAAATGACTTAATGGCACAAAATCAAAAATAGGTAAGATGTCTGTTGTGCTCAGATGTCATATGGCCCAGGAAACCATGTAAAAGGAGGGGAAATTCTCAATGAAGCAAAATTGTTTGCTAGAGAAAATAAGAGATTTCTCTAAGTGTTGAGAATTAAGGATATTGTATATCTAAATATATTAGCCATTTTTCATCCATTCCTTCCTGGCCTCAATTTAGGAGAGTGCAAAAAATAAAGTAAAAAGAGAGACCAATACATCAGAGAATGTTGTCCATATTATTTTTCCATTATTATATTTCTTTTTAAAAACATTTTTGCAAAATCAAAATATATGTACAATATTTTGCCCTTTTAATAAAAAATCTTTTTTCTTATTCACAAATAGGAGAGTGGCTGGGGAGAGTAATTCATTACAAACCAAGCACCTCCTGGGGGGGGAAAGAAATGTTACATCCGCAAACAAAAAACAGCCTTCCTTTTTTTTCAATCAAGAAGTATTTTGATTTTTCTTCAGAAGGACCATCTTGCGTAGGTACGATGGCAAGGTGTATTTTGAGAAGAAACGCCTCTTTTCAGTCTTCCTCTTGCTTAACCTCGTTTTCCAAACGTACGGATGGACTTCTGTAAGGGCTGAACTTCTGCACGTGCTCAGACAAGTGGCGTCTGCAACAGAGGCAGCCCCACAGCACTGGCTTTTCTCCACAACAACCCTGCGCAGGTGGCCTCGTCTCCCGGGGCTCACTCAGCCAGGAGTGGGCTTCAGCCCCGGCCTCCCAGTCCTGGCCCAGCACTTCCCTCACCCAGTTCACAGAACAGGCAAACCTGCCTGGTGGAGACTGGGTGGTTGCCTTTCTTTCGCTTGTCCTTCTCCAGATGGGGTCACCGTCTCCTTCTGGTCCTCCCCCACTTCCCCCCACTGCATCCACTGGGGGGATTCTGGAGGGCTCCAGAAAGAGGGGAAAGATGCAGATGCTTCAAGCCTGGCCTTCTCCTGGTGGCCTCTGCCCCATCTGCAGCACAGGCTGGGAGAGGCCGTCTCCAAGAGGGGAAAGGGGCCAGTTAGGAAGATGCTGCACGGGCTCCCTTCTGGCACCGGGTGTGCTGCGGTGGGCCCTCCCTGGTGCCTTCATGCCTCTTGCTAACCCTCTCTTGGCTTCGGGAGGAACTGGGGAGCGGTCCAGGGAGATGCGAGCAGCATATTTCTCTGCTCTGGTTCTGCAAAGCATCTCTGGGTCCCAGCTCAGAGCACGGAATCCCACCCAGGCTGCAGAACTCCAGGCAAGGCCTAGAGAGCAGCAAAGAGAAGACAAACAGTCCCTCTTAGGCTATCTAGTGGTCACTGGGGTTTTCGCAAGCCAGACCGACTTTCTTTCCTTTCTCCTACCTACACACACACACACCCCGGCCCCAGTGGCTTCAATCTAAGTGGGAAGGGCAGCTGAGCTCCCTCCTCCCTAGGGCGATTTGCTTGATGACCCAACGGGTTCTAGCTGGGGATCCCACCCAGCTGCTGCTGATCAACTTCGTTGAGCTCTCTCTGTCTGTCTGTGTGTCTTTCTGCCTCTCTCTACCACACGTAGCTATTTCCCTACATGAAAAGGGAAACGACTGAAAGGTCCCTCTGCTCCCTGACCCAGGGCCAGCCCCATTTCTGGAGGGGCACCCATGTCAGGGAATGCTTGCTTTGCTAGGCTGTCTGCAAAGGACAGAAGCAGCTGGGAAAAGCCAAGAGGATTTTAAAGTTTGAGGCTGATTTCAGGCAAACCTCAAATGGAGGCAAATCTACTGTGGGCTCAGGCCTGCGCTTGGGCATCCAAGCGCAGATCTGCTGGGGGTGGGCAAGCGGAGGGGCTGCTGTGCCAATCTCGGGGCAGCAGCAGATGGCCTCGGCAGCCTCTGGGAGACCTTGGCCTCTGCCCCCACCAGAAAAGCCAAGCTCCTGCCCCACAAGCAGCCCCCTGGCCCCAAAGCCCTTTGCAAGCCGGGGAAGCGGCTCAGTGCTCAAGAGAGCTCCTTGAGGCATGTTTGGAAGGGAAAGTTAAACCAACTTATGGCCTTCATCTCCCCAAAGTCCCAAAGGCAGAGAGATTCCACCTTTGCAGCAGCTCCCCAGATGTTTTGGGGCTGGGGGGTGGGGAGCCGAATGCTGGAGAGATCCCTGCAGGGGATCTGCGTGCATCTGTGGCAGCCGTGGGGACGGCGCCTGTTCTACCGGACGCTAATCCTCTTTGGCCGCCTCTTCTCCCAGCAGAAGCTCCTCCAGCTCTGGATGGATGGGAACTGTTTTGCCAGCAGGATGAGCAATAAGGCAAAGGCTTCCTGAGGAATGCAGAGGGCAGCAGCAGGAGCCAGCAGGCCCTGAGGAGGCCAAGCGATGCCGGGCCAAGCTGGATGTGCGACTGGCCGAGGCTCCTGGAGGCCTCGGGGTCCGTTCTGGCAGCCGGCTCAGACAGGTTCCCAGCACTGATGGAGGAAAGACCCACAAGCCAGAGGGAGAGGCAGCCGTGGGGTGCAGCCCACGTCTCTCTCGTGCTTCCTTCTCTCCAGCCAGATGTTTGCATTGCAGTCCCAAATTCAAGGCAGGCTCAGGAAGAATCCCAGCAATTCTGGGGATGCTCACTTGGTAACTGGATGGATTCTCTCCTCAACCACAAAGGGGCCCACTCACATTTAGGGCCGCTTCAGGTGGCCCACGGCCACAGTGGACACCAGGACTTGCAGAAACTCCCCACCCCCACCCCCCAAAAAACCCCTAAGCCAAGGGCACTCTTGGCAGCATGCTCCCAAATCCTAGAGAAGCATCTCTTCTAGTATCCCACCCAAGCATCAGACACCACCAAGCCCATCTTCCACACCTCAGAAGGCTTTGTAGTGCCGCTGCTTCTGGCCAGGCCATCGGTCCAGCCTGCCTTCCCCAGAGGCTTCGTGGTTTTCTGCAAATGCCATTTGGCTCTTCCGTGCCAGGAAATCAGAAGGAGAGAAGCAGCCGTGCCTTGCCCATGCGCCCACGTTCCTCCAGCCCCACTGCTGCACATTCCCCTCATGCACTCACGCCCACGGGCTGGGGAGTGGGCTCTCTCCTCGGTGCTGGAAGAACAGTCCAGTTTCCCTCGGAGGCCCAGAGACGGCCGGGGCTGCCCTTGGAGACAGTAGCTCCTGCCAGTCTGGGCATCACTGCACCCCCTCCTCCTCCACGTAGGTCGAAGGGAACCAGCCAATCTGCAAGAAAGCAGGAGGGAGCATAAGGACGGAGGGGCAGCCCAGACGGGGCAGGGACCAGGCCAGGCCTGGGGGGGGGGGGGTGGAGGGGCTTTTGTGACTGAGTGGGCTTGAGAGAACAGGGGCCGGCACTGGCCTTGTGCTCATCTGCCTGTATCGCTGCTCCCTGGCTGGACGCCCCCTCCCCGATTCAGAAAGGGAAGTGGCAAGAGGGGGGCCCTCCCCTCCCGGAGGCTACTTACTCGGCCGTTGGCCTCCCCCTTCCACCAGCCTTGGTCCCCGCCGATCCGGCTGTAGATCTTCACCACGTCCCCTTCCTGCAGGGAGAGCTCCCGCATGTCCCGGGCAGCAAAGTTGTACCTGGCCACTGCAGTCCCGATGGCCCGAGGGGTGAAGACTGGCGGGAGGAGGGAGATACGAAGGAAGAAGAGTGAAGGGGCTTCCCGCGGCCTCCGGCCTGTCCAGCTCCCGAGACGACAGGCGAGAGCCACGTCAGCAGGTTTCTGGTTGTTTCTTTTTCTTTCTGGCTAACATGTGGTGGTGGTCCGAGTTCTCCCTGGGCCCCTCTGTAGCCTTTCTGGCCGCCAGGAGCCTTTCTCAGCTGCTGTTAAGCTGCCCTGCCAAGGCTGGACTAGAAGCTGGGGCTGACCTGCCAGCTGTGGGCAGAGGATCAACCCGTCCTTTCTTAGGTGACCAGCAGGTGCCACTGTCCTTCAGCAAATGGAGGGGAGGGCGCCTCTGCATGCATATATATATATATATAGATAGATAGATAGATATGATACTGCTGTATTTATTATATCGAGAGACGGGGGGAGAGAGAGAGAGAGAGAGAGAGAGAGAGCTATATCTACCTGACCAAAAAGGAGTGGAGGGATTCTGAGAAGTGAAGTGGTGGCCCTGAGGACTGAGAAAGGAAAAATTGTAGGAAGCGCAGGCAGCTGCAGAAAAGAAGTTAGAGGGAAATGGAGGCAGCAGGAGAAAGGGGAGGGGGGGGAGACAGTATTAAAGGGGGACGTTCACGAAACAGGGGAGAAATCAGCAATAAGGCAGGGGGAAAGCCCACCCGGCTCTGCACACTTCGGCCTGACAGGGAGATGGAGGTGGCTGACCAGCCTCTCCACCCCGCCTGCCTCCCCGGATGGAGCCCCTGCTGCAGGCCGATGTTCACAGAGGGAGCCAGGTGCTCTCCTGCCCGGAGGGGATTGAGCAAAGCATCGGCCTGGGAAGGACACCGGTCCTCCTCCTCCATGGGGCCAGGGAGGGCTCTCTCCAAAGGAGCAGGGGAGCATTTTGCCCTTTTCCTTAAAAGCACCAAAGGGCAGTTGCTCTCAGATGCATCTGCCCAGCAACTGGACTGTGGAGCGCGGCTCGGAGCAAGTGGGCAGCATCCAAAAGGACCACTGAGGGCGTTTGGAAGCCCACCCAGCTTGCCCAGAGAGCCCAGATGCAGGACCAGCCTCAGCCACAGGCTTTCTTCTCCTCTTCCTCCTCCTCAAAATGAGTTTGGGGGATGAAGCCAGAATCACACAGGAAGGACCTCCGGAGCAATCTCGTCCCGAGCCATAAAAAAATCAGGATGGAGCTTCCTGGTTCATTTGGCCAAGCAGAGGCCATTGGTCCCCTGCTTGTCCACACACTCAGACCAGCGTCACTCACCCCTCAGCCATGGGGGGGGGGGCTTTGTGATCAGCTGGGGAGCTTGCACAAATTCGGTTCTTTCATGAGAGAGCACGGCGGAGGGCAGGGAAGTCCTGCTTTCTCCTGGGGTGGGGGGTGGGGGTTGTTTGACTTTCTCCCCATTAGGGCTGAGGGATGTGGCAAAAACCCGTCCCCTTCCAAAGGGACCCCAGCGTCCTTTACATAAACTCAAATTCAGGCATTAAAATTGCTTCGTTTCAGCCTCAGGGGAGTTTTAGAATTTCTTGGGCATTTCTGTGATCATAAGCAGCTCAAGATGCTGCAGGGAGGAACACAGAGGGGCTTGCACAGAAGAAAAGAGATTTGGGGGGGGGGAATCCTCTTTCCCAGCCTTTCCTTGTTGAAGTGTATGTGTGGAAAGCTGGAGGTCTGTTGCAAACGCCTCCCTCCAACCCATTGATGGGAAAGCAGCCACTGACCACCCCTGGTTAAACTGGGCCCCTGGCTCTGCTGGGCTGAGCCACTAGGGTGGCTGCTCTGGGTGGAAAGCCATGGGGCGCTGGGTCTCGAAAGGCTGGGGTGTCTGCCCCATCCCCATAGCGGGAGTCTTTCCCCTGCTGGGCTTCTCTGCCGCCGGCCAGACCTGCAGGCCAAGGGGAAAGCAACCCGCTGGCGGGGGCTGGGCCTTCAAGGGGCAGCCTGGGGATGCCAGCCATGCAGCAGCAAAGGGGGTGGGGGCTCCTTTTGCAAGCTCTCCATCGGTTCTGCGACCCCCGGCAGGATGGAGACGGTCCTTACCTGGGGATCGAGCCAAGGTTCTTGAGGCTGAGCGTTCCCGGGATTTGTAGGGATACTTTAACGTTGTGTCCAGCTGTTTGAAGCTCTCCTTCAGTGAATGGGCTTGATAGTACTCCACCAATTCCTGCAGAAGACGGGTCAAAGCCCATGAGCCCCTTGGAGCCCCCGGGAAGTCCAGGTCCAAGACCAGCCTGTTGTTGCCTCCCAAAATACCAACCTACCAAGAGGCTTTCAAACTTCTTGGCTTCTGTGATGTGGATCCAGTTATCTTTTTCAACCACTTTAATGTGCTTGACCTCGTCATTGAACCTGCACGGGAGAGGGCAGAGGTTCCAGAAGACCATTGCAGGGGTGTTTCCCACCCAAAAGACCACCCCTCCATATATGCCCCATGGAAGAGGCTGGCAGAGCTGAGCTTAAGCCAAAGATCCCATCTGGGCTGGGTGTCCCCTATGTGCTGAAATGCTGGAAGTGAAAGCTTGCTCCACTGGAGGGGGGACACAAGCAGACTCCCCATTGGGGGCTTGAGAGGTGAATGTGGCCTCCCAGGGAGGACCCCGGTGCAGACTAATTGGGGACCAATTACCGGAAGCAGAAAAGTTCTCTTTGGCGAACTCTAAAAACAAGAACTCTCCTTCATCAAATAGAAAGGAAAGAGGTTTGCAAGGCCAGTTGAAAAGGGCCACCCGTTAAGCCATGGCTGACTCTCTGGAATAGGAAGATGGGGAGGGGTCTGGAAGCTAGCTGGGGTCTGTGTGAACCCATCTCCTTTGGAAGAGACCCTGCGTGCCCCTCGGGGGTACGAGAGGCTGCCCTTCGCGAGCCACTGACTTGATGCTGATGGCAAAACGCTCGGCTTCTGCTGGCCTCTCCCGGATCAGGTAGGTCCCGCTGGCGTGCTGCTTCAGGAGGTTGTCCGTCTGCTGCCTCTCCATGTTGCCTGCAAACCTAAGACCCACCCTCTGGGTTAGGAGAGATCCCCCTCAGATCCCCCAGGCGGCCCTCTGATGTTGGGATGCTGGTCTCATGCCAGAATCCCCCGGGAACCCTCGGTCTTCCCCTTCGCCGCCCCCCCCGCCCCCAAGGCCCCCCCAGCCCCCCCCCCCCCCCCGTCCTTCTCTGGCTGCCCTCAATCTGCAATCGTGCACCTCTACAAATTTACAGATTAACAGAGTTGGAAGGGACCTTGTAGGTCATCTAGTCCAACCCCCTGCTCAAGCAGGAGACCCCACACCATTTCTGACCAATGGCCGTCCAGTTCTTGAAAGTTTCCTAGGGATGAAGCTCCCAAACATTCTGTTCCACTGGTTGATTGTCCTCACTGTCAGGAAATCCCTCCTTATTCTGAATTTCTCCTTGCTCAGTTTCCATCCATTATTCCTTTTTCTGGCCTTTGGGTGCCTTGGAAAACAGCTTGAGCCCCTCCTCCTCTCTGGGGCAGCCCCTCAAATCCTGGACCTTGGGGGTCAATGAGGCCCTCTCCTGTGGCTCCAGGTTGTGGCTTCAAGCAACACCTCTCAAAAGTGGTTCAACCCAAAACTGAAGAGGAGGCCACTCCTCACCTACCCCGCTGCAATAATTCTTCCTCCCTCCCCTGTTTGGCTGAAGAGACAACAGCCCACCAAAAGCCACAAGAGGGTCTGACCCAAAGGAAGCCTTCCCAGCATCCTTTCTGAGGGACGAAGCTCTTTGTCCGTTTTGAGCAAGGCTTGTGGGGGGGGAAGTCTTACAGCAAAGGGTCCCCAACTCTTGGGCCGTGGGAGGGGTCTGCAACTGGGCAGCCGAAATGTCCAGCGAGGGTGCACAAATTTGCGTGGACATGCACACCGCTTGTGCAAATGGAGCTGTGCATGCATGCATGCTGGCTGCTCCTGTGAAACCATCTCCCGCAACCCCAGTCCGCAAAGCTGGAAACCAAGAAAGGCCTCCAGAAATACAACTCTCCAAAGCTTGGGCAGCTCTTCCAAGGCACACCTGTCAACGAGGCTTGGAGAGAAACGATTCCCTTTGAGGGCCTCCCATTTTATCCTTCCTCACATCCTGAGTGCTGGTTATTTCGAAGGACGATGCTGAAGAGGCAGAGCCAGTTTGCATCCAGCAGGCAAGAAACTGTCCCCTGCATCCCAGCCACTTTGTATTCCCCCCCCGCCCCCCTAGTCTCCTCACCGATGAGAAGATTCCAGATTAGGGGGAGGGGCCCAGCCAATCCCACCCACCCAACTCACCAGGGGTACGTGGAGTAGTCCATCTCTCGTGAAGGAGGGCGGCTGCTGGGAGGCTGCAGCAGGGAACAAAGTGGCGATTTGGAGTGGGGGGGATTCTAATGCATTCTTCCTAAGGGCATCCCATGCCAGGGGGGGTGTCTCAGCTGTGAGCGGTGGAGCAGAAGACCCCCAGGGCCAGGAGCAGGGAATCATCCGCCCTCAAACAAAAAGGGGTCAGCCACTGAATGCAGCAGCCATCCGTCTGGGGACTCAGCCATGGGGGGTGGGGCAGGGGCGCATGATCGTGGCTCCTGCCTCCAGGACTCTTACCCGCGCGTCCACTGGGCAAGGCTTGACCAACGAGCTGGGGAAATAGCCAGATTTCTTGGACACGATGAGCCTCCCCTGGAAGAAAGAGAAGAGTCCCTCACACAAGGACCCTGTTGTGGCCTGTCAGCCACCCCCCCCCAGCAGCTGAATCGGAGGAGGGGGAGTGTGAGTCAGGGTCAGCATCAAGGTAACCCAGAGAGCTCTGAGGGGGAAGTGGGAATGGAGCTATCAGAGAGAGAGAGAGAGGGAGGGAGGGAGGGAGGGAGGGGGAGAGAGAGAGAGAGAGAGAGAGAGAGAGAGAGAGGGAGCCTGGGCTGTCTATCAGCCCTCAACTAGAGAATAAACAGCCGCCAGGTCTGGAGGTGGCGGATGAGGATGAGGAGGAACAGCTGGGTCCAGTGCCTGAAGTGCAGATGCACAGAAGGCAGAGGAGAGGAGAGCAGTGGAAATCTATGGGCCGGTCCTTGGGATGGAAGAGCCACCACTACTAGCAAAGCGCTCCCACTAGCTCTGGGGATAAAAGACAGGCGCCGGAGGTGAATAGGCGTGCCAGACAACTATTCATCTCCCAGCCAAACAGACTTGTTAGCTTGTTGTGTGTGTGAGAGAGAGACTTTTTGCTAGGGCTTCTGGCCCTCTTAATAAAGGGAACAATTAGGTAACTACAGAGGGTTTGTCATGTTTGGGAGCCAGGTCAGAACTGGCCCATCCTGCCATGTGGGGAGGAAACCCAGGCAGGGGCATAAAAGAAGCAGCAACATCATGGACTCCCTTTGTCCACCGTGAGTGTAGGTTTGTTTCTTCTCTCCCACATGAGGAGGCTTTCACTCTCTCAAGGATTCACACGACAGCCATAACACAAGTCAACAAGACACAATGATGCCGTCTCTATAATGTTGAACGTGTTAATGCAATGGGCTGACTCAGCAAGTGTGCTAAGGGCTGAGTTCACACAACCTTGATTTGGGTTTGCAACCTGGTTAAGCTACAGCCTGGGGCGTGGAACTCCTTCAGCCAACGGGTCTTGCTGGCCTCCTCCCGGAAGCGACCCTGGATGCTGTGGGGAAGGGGCTCAGCCCAGGCTTCCTTCTATTTGGTGCGGCAAACAGGATTAGCTGGACTCGCAAACCAGGATGCCAGGCTTCCTGAGTTCACCGTGGGCGGATGGCAGAGCAGGATCCCAGACTGGCCAAGGGTTCTGGGTCCCAGATCCTGGGGCCATGGAATAAACCCAGCGCCCGTCCTAGCCAGCCAGTGTCTCCTCATCCCCCCCGAGTACAGAATTTCAAGTTAAAATGCCCGGCAGGCCCAAAGCTGAATTCCGTGGAAGGTTTTGTCAGGGAAGGTTTCGTCCTTCCTGCCCATTGCTGGAGGATCCACTCACCTCCCACCACTGGGAATCCGGTTCCCCTCGGAGCAGCTCAATCACTTCGCCCATTTGGAAAGTTAACACAGGTTTCCCTGGTGGAGCCGGGTTGCCATGGTAATTCTGGAGGGCCACCATTTTAGGGCCTAGAAAGGAAGGCAGAAACCTTTGCAGGGGCCTGGATGGATCTCTCAGCCCAGGCGGTGGCAACCTGGGAGAGCCTCAAGATCCCTTCCAACTCTGTTGTTCTGTAAGTTCTGCTCAGAGGGGCTTCCGACTTCCGGGCCCCTCGACGCCACCCTGCAGGAGGTGCCCAGTGCCCAGGGCAAAAGGGGGGCCCATCTTGCCCCGAGCTGCCGATTTCTGGGCAGGGGCCACGGGGAAGGGGCAGAGTGCAGGCCTTTCAGCTCCCCAGGGATCCGCCTCGGGATCCAGCTCTTCCTTAACAAGTGCCCAAGAGAGTCCACTATCACTTTTTGGCTCTTTGAACAAAAAGGTTGCTTAAAGGAGAGCTTCCACCTGGGAGCAGCTGCCCCCCTGCGCTTGGAGTAGACTTAACTAAAGACTTTTGTGTGTGTGTGCGCGGGGTGGGGGGAGGGGGGAAGCTCAGGTGGGCCGACTGGCAAATTGCTGGCTGCAGAAGGTACACAATGAACTTGATTTTTTTGGTTTAATGTCTGCTCTCCCTTACCGTTTTTCTAGGCAGCTTATTAAAATAATGAAACAATATAAGGTGGAAGAGGCCAGCCAACTACAGGATTTGGAAGGGGTGGGTGGGTGGGCGTTTGGCTTCATCTGCCGCACTAGCCCCTACCTCCCTTACAGGAACGTCTCACACCACCAGCACAAACCTTCAAAGGGACAAACTGCACCGAGTATTAACTCTGCTTTTTGATTTAAGGGGCACATTTTCTACAGGCAAGTGGTGCTCTCTCCTCACAATCAGGAGGCTGTGAGTTCAATCCTAGGTAGAGGCAGATATTTATCTCTCTGGGCACGATGAGAATGTATCTGCTGAACAAAACTCTGTACTGGCAACAGGAAGGGCATCCGGCCAGTAAACACTCATCTCCATTCAGTTGCCCAGACTCCACCCCACAAGGGATCATGAAAAGAGGAAGATGATTTTCTAACAGGCAAGTAAGAGCTGCTGTCCTTCTGAAGTCTTTCCCTGGGGTGGCATCCGGCTGGGTAGCAGTGCCAGCCTGCCAAGGGAGAGGCATCTGCATGACCCTGGCAGGCATAGAAAGGAGCGGCTTGCTTACCCTCTCCTTCCCCCATCCTGCCTTCTGCACTGTGATGCCCAGGCACCTGCTCTGCTTCTCCCTGTTTACTGCTTGGCAGGGAGCAGCCGGTCGACGTGCCTGTGAGGGGATATCCAGGCCCTCAAGTGCCCCCCGGGGCAGCTGCAACCACGCAGGCATCTCTGCCTACCATATTTCGCAATCACCCTGGTTCTGTCTGAAACTTTTCTGCTATTAAACCCAGATTTTGTTCTTAAGCACCAACCAGGAAGCTGCCTGGTTGGAAGAGGAGGAGGAGGAGGAAGAGGAGGAGGAGGCTTACCTAGATTCAGTGATTCCTGTTCAGAAATAAAAAGAAAGATGTTTCAATCTCCTGGGGCCTTTTTGTCCACACTACAATATATTCTTGCTCTTAGAACTGACCCCCGCCCCGCCCAAGGCCCCACCGCCAGCAAAGGCCTTGCAGAGATTCTGAGATGCAACACACACACACCCCTGGCATTCAAATCGGGGAAGAAGAGGGTTGGTCTCAGGACCAGCCACGACCTCAGCCTCGCATCTAAGGAAAGGGGGGGAGGGGCCTGGGTGAAAGGTGCCCCCAGTGTCTTCGCCTGGCACTTTGCTCCCCGTGTCCCTCCCCAGACAAGAAGGAAGAAAATCCACATTTCTTACCTGCTCAGCAGGAGAACCTAGAAGGCAACGTTAAAAAGTGGGAGGTTAATGGAGAAGCCACCTAAGAGGAGCAGCTCAGCTGGTGAGTTTGTGCGTGCAGATCTCAAGACCACCTGGATCCCCCCTGCTCATTTCTTGCTATTCCAAATTCTTTCCCCTTCCTCGCCTCTTGACCCACCTTCAAGGTTTAGACCGTCCTTTCAGTTACAAATATGTTAGTTAAATGATGGTGGTGTTACAGGAGGGCAAAACGTATTTTTCTAAACAATTTATGACATGCAACATCCTCTAACCAGCTGCAGAAGGGGCGTGTCTCCACAGCTGCTCTGCCCTTCTGGGACAGGTGAGAGGCTGACGAAGACCCCCAATAAGGAAGGTGTCCGGGGGCTCAGCTCTTCTATCTGCCCCTGAGAAAGAAGCCCACGGAGACAAGTTCTCGGGATGCAGCAGCCCCGCGCGAGGTGCAGGGCACCAGGCTCAACAGGCAACCATTGGAGCGAATAGCAATAGCAATAGATTTATATATCGCTTTACAGCCCCTCTCTAAGTGGTTTACAGAATCAGTCTCTTGCCCTCAACAATCTGGGTCCTCATTTTACCCATGGAAGGCTGAGTCAACCTTGAGCCAGTCAGGATCGAACTCCTGACAGTGAACAGAATTAGGCTGCAATATTGCATTCCAACCACTGTGACACCACTGCCCTTCCTCCCTCCCTCCCTCCCTCCCTCC